AAGATTACTTGAGCCCACAAGTTCAAGACCAGCCTGAACAACATAGCAAGACCCTGCCATAAAAATTTTATTTTAAAAAAGTGACATGAACTTAATTTTTAGGTAGGACTTCATAAATTTAAAACTGCCATTATTCAGTAGGTATAACTAAGAAAGTAAAAAAAAAAAAAATTAATCACTGCCTGGGAGAAAATACAGAACATCTGGCGAGGACTCGCATCTTGACTATACAGAGAACCTCTACAAATCAACACAAAAGGCAAATGAAAAACATAAGCAAAGRTTTCAACAGACCCTTTGCTAAAGAAGATATCAAAATCACCAGTAAGTACAGGAAAATGTGCTTACTAGGGGAACATCAGCAAGGAATTAAAATGTTTAAACATAAAAAGACAAAGAATGGGACAGGCAAGAGGACTGATGGGTATCTGGAATCACAGAAATGTTCTGTAAGTCAATCTGGGTGATACCTATGCAGATATCCATATACATGGAAATTCACCAGCTGAACATAAGATTTGTACACTTTATTCCACAAAAATTATACTCCAACCTTAAAAAATGTAATCTTCAGCAATCAATGCTTGTGATTATGTATGATGGGAAGGGGAAATAGATAAAAGAGAACTCAATCTTTACTATCTTCATCAAACATTAAAGCATTGCTAGTTCAATAAAGTTATATAAGAAATCTTGTGGTTAGTAAGAGCTGTGTGTGGGAAGCAAAACTGGAGGTTGAGAGGGAAGGACAATGGGCTACTGTTTTAACATAAGAAGTCTTTTACTAATATTTGATTTTTAAAACTGCATATATATCAATTTGATGAGAAATTATTTAGCAAATAATAAATTATAAGCTATTAATATGTAATTGTTTACATAAACATGATATGGAGAAAGCCTTTTAGAGATGCCTCAGTGGCATCTTTCATTTTGCCAGCCAAGCATCCTCTCCTCCTTCTGTACTGATTTTCCTTCCTCTTCCTCTATGAGTTCAGAGGATCTGTCTATCCCATTTTAGCAGTGAYTTGTGACTCAGGCCCAATTCATTCATGGTGCTGGCCCTTGCCCTTGATCTCAGAGACTTTTTTTTTCTTCCAGGAATAGGCACAAGTTCAGTTTGGGCCAATAAGATTTATACCAAAGAGTTCTGTGGAAATGAAGAAGGAAAGAATGTTCTTGCCTGGAGCAGCTAGCGGCCATCTTGCCATCAAGAGAGAACTTGACCAAAACTGGGGCTGACTGAAGGCACAGCACAGAGAGGAGTTAGGGAGAAGACAATTGAGCCCTGATATCTGTGGTTGTGTCCCTGATTTCACACAGGCCAGAACTTTATCTATCCCTGCCCTTTTCATAATTATAAGAGGCACTATAGTGGAATGGGGAAGCACTGGACTGCTTAAGTCCAAATCCCAGCTTTGCTATCTACTAACTGTGACATTGAGCATGTCACTAACCTCTCCCTTATCTATAAAATGTGAGTAGTAATAGTATTCACCTCAAAGGATGAGTTAATATATATAATAAGCACATATATATGCATGTATTTATTTATGTGTAAGGATAGGTACACAGTTTAATTCAGATATATATTAATACATTAAAAACATACTTAAATTTATATGTACAAGAACCTAATATAAGTTATTAGCTAACCTTATTATCCACAATTAAATTCCATTTTTCTCTAAGCCAGGTTGGGTTGACATTTCTAAGTGGCAGGATCCTGACTTATTCAACTACCAAACAAGGAACCATACAAAACCAATCAATACATTTAAGCAGATATACATAAAGCATAACCATTCTCTTTAGGAAAAAAAATCATTAGAAAAATAGGAAAGGAAGAAAATGTGTTGTGTTTGCAACCTTTAGGATTCATATATTTTTTGCTCTTACAAATAACAAGATGGAGATGCTGATAGGGGCAAAATATGAACACACGATTCATGAATTAAAAACATAGGAATGCAAAATAAGTTTCAATTTCCAAAGAGTAAATGAAATGAATGAGGAACTCGTTTTTTTCCAAAGACAAACCTAAACAGTTATTTTAAATTTTATTATCCAGAGTTGGCAAGTGTCTCATGGACTGCTGATGAGAATGGAAATTCGTACAACCTTTCTGGAAGGCAATCAAGCTGTAATAAAAACAAGCATAACTTTGACTCAAAAATTCTCCTTCTAGAAATTTATCTAAGGAGAAAATTATGGGTGTGTGCAGAACTTCTCCTTATGAGTTTGCTAACTGACTTATGTTTACATACAGAAACATTAGGAAATTGATATCCAAAAAATATAGGGTTTTCATTAAAATCCATACATTCCAATACTATTCAGTCATTTATAATGTTGATGTAAAAGGTGTGCATTTATAGAAGACTATTCATGATTATTAAATGAAGTAAATAGGTTATCAAACCATATAGTATATGTATGTTTTAGTTGTATTAATATTTATATACACACATGGAAGATCTACTGGGATACACATTAAATGATAGTGAAGTCTCTGGGAGGTAGAATTAAGAGATTCTTTTCGGAGTGATTTCTTCTGGTTATATACATATTCCATTCTTTCTCCAATGAGCCTTTTTTTGACTTCTGATAAGAAAAAAATGCATTTTAAATTCACAAAAAGCTATAAGTCACCTCTATGGATAATTTCAGTAGTGCGTTTGGATGTATGCAAACTGTTAGGTGGAGCAGAGGTGATAAGAAAGTCAAAGAAGTAGACATTTTAGGAAAATCTGCCTATAAAACTAAGGAGCACAAGGTCTCAAGAACATATGTGTCATATGGTTACTGAAATGAAGAGTTCATTGGAGAAGAGTCTGGAAAACAAAAAGAGGGGAGATGTCTCATGAAGCCTCAATAGCATCACACTGTACTGTCCATTCTCTAGCAACTTCCATCTCAGCTTTGCTGTGTTGCTCTTTTCCCTTTATGCTAACCATGTCCCAGTGTTATACAGGACCAAAAGGGCATGAATTTACCCAGGGCAGACAGCCTCTTGGTGTCTTAACCCTCCCATCCTAGATGCAACAGGCACATTTCATCAATAACCATCCCCAGAAAAGAAAAYGGATACTTCGGGCCCCACAAGAGGTTTGTTAAACCCTCACTCTCACAAGAGAATGAACACAATCCACAACTGCAATCTAATACAAGCTTCATCATGACAAAAAGGGAAAAAGTGAGTTTTCAACAATTCATACAGGCGTGAATGCTCTGTAAGAGAGATTACATTTTCTTTTCATTTATTTTGGGCATATTAACAGCTGGTGACCTAGATTAAGAAATAATTTAATATGTGAAAAGGCAAACCATATCACTAAATTCCTTCACAGATGAAAAGTGGATTCAGTGAAAAGCTTCAAACCAAAGATGCAAGTAATTACTTGGGGTGGGAGAGTTAACTACAAGTAGATGAAATGAAGTATTGAAAATTTGTGAAGAAATCTGGCCCAAATCTCAAAACCTGCAGAYAGATCAGTGGCTGTTTTCTGAACATGAAACCGGGGACTAGAAAGGGACAGGAAGTCTTGCTAATTCGCTGCTGAGGGAGCAGCAGCAGGAGGATCCCCGAGTTCAGGATGAGCTAGGGTAGATATTAAAAGAAATACAATCCTCTTACTGCATTGAGAGTGTGCATGTGTGTGGAGAGGGAGGGACTAGCAGCAACACCAAGCCTCTCTGCCTGTGCTGGCAAAGGGATCAGGGCCCCTTCTGCTCAGTTCCTTGGGGAAGGCTAGAACTGGGGAGCAGCCTGAGCGTGGGTCTGAAGAGAGAAATCCACTGTCCTAATGAGTAACACAGCATATCTGACTCCTAGGAAAATGCCAAACACCCTATATCCCAGGAACAGAAAACACTACCACATGAAAGAGAATACAGTTCAACTTGATCCCAATCATGAGGTTTGTTAGCCAGTATTCATTTTCAAGTACAATGCTCAAGCTACAATTAAAAAAAAAAAATGTCCTTTGCTCAGGTCACCAATGAAGACCTTAGAGCTGTCAGATACAACAGTCAGCAGGAAAGCCAGGCAAGCTCAGTACCCTTCCAATAGCCCCCTCCCCCCAACTGCTCAGGGCTGCACTTGCTTGCTATGTACCTGAGTTTCACTTGTGTATGTATATCCTGGAGGGAGAAATAAATTACCATGGCCAATTTACTAAGGGGGTTTGCAAAAAAACACGGATCCCAACCCGTATAATCTATATACATATTTTTTAATGCAATAAAACATCCCGTTTGTGCAGAAATGCTCTGAGAAGAACTGTTTGGGTTCAGGTGATATTTATTTTTGACCTTCCAGGGAAGGACATTGGCGTCAAAAAGAATACAAATATACATGAAAAGGGGAAAAGTGTGCTCTGTTTTGAACTCCAGGGTTCCCAGGAGAGCACTGTACAAAGGTGCTAGTTGTTTGCGATCCAGTCTTATTGGTCCAGAGATTTTGGGGGGAGCTTCTCTGCTAGGTCGTTCGTTTCTACCGCACTCAAGTAGCCACGAAATCCCCCCAGAGGACGGAAGGCTGCCGCAATCTCCCGCCCCATCTGCGGCCCGCGTCCCAGCTAGCTGCCTGCGGGCGAGCTGGAAGCCGGCGCCAGGAGATGCTAGCTGAGGGAGATGCAAGCTCCTGGAGAGATACAAAGCTCGGGGAGATGCAAAGCTCTGGGAGATGTGCTCTTCCCGGGTGCAGAGAGCCACAGCACCTGCGACAGCTGGTCAGCGGCGCCGGGCCCATGAAAGAAGGGAAGCGGCGACCCCGGGCGGGCTCCGGAGGCCGGGCACAACCTGGTGCCTCTGGGACCAGGGTCTGTGGGTCCCTGATGCTCCCGCTGCCGGGTCCAGTGTCCGTGTCGCCTGGCCCCAGCCCGGCTCCGAAACGCGCCGCATCCGGAGGATCTGGCCCCGCACAGCCGCAGCCAGTGACCCACAGTTCGCCCCCACCTCGCAACACCTGCCCGGGCCTCCCGCCGCCCTCTGCTGACCTTTTCCTGTGCGCGGTTGAGTCGCTTCTGGACGTTCTTGGCGAAGATGCCAGTCTTGATGTCGGCCATGGCTGCGGGTCCCGGGAGCTGAGAGCAGCTGAGCGCGCAGCACGGCTGGCGGCGGCGCGGAGGAGCGGGAGGAGGAGGAGCGGGAGGAGGAGGAGCAGAAGAGGCGGCGAGGAGCAGCCAAGCGAGAGCTGGATGAGGGAGGGGTGCAGCGGTGGGACCGGCTTAAAGCCACAGTGCGGAGGCGGGACGCACCGGGACTGGCGGTGCCACCGCGCGGGGAGGGGCGGGACCCAGAGAAAGAAAGGGAAGAAGTCAAAATGTCCAGAGGATATCCACGATGATAGAAGAGGAGGTCAGGAGGTGAAAGGGATGCAAGCCACTCAGCATCTCCAGGGCCCTGAAGCAGCTCAAGGACCTGGCCAGAAGGCACCCACCTCATCCACCCTGGGAGTTTGAGAAGGACTGGATGCCTCTCTGCCCTCAGTAGGCTTACAACCCAGTGATGGGGGACTGACTGGAAAACCAACCAAGTCACTGCAGGGCGGTAATACTGCAGTTGACAGGAAAGGGGGAGKGACCATAAATGGCACTTGTTTAATTTTAAGACTTGATGGGTGAGGAGGTCAATGTTGAGAAGGGTCAGCTCCTACAGGCTGATGCTGTGCCTTGCCCATCTCTGAAATTTCTGTGCTGTGCAGAAAAACTGGCACACTCCCTCCCCAAGAAGGTGAGAGGAATAATCAAGTCCTTCATAGCCTCAGGCCAACCCAGGCTTCCTAACCTGTTGCTTCCTTACAAACCCTCTGGCAACTTTAACTTTGCAGTGCTCTGTATGTCTGTATGCCTGGCTGAAAGAAAAAAAAAAAAAAAAAGATAGAGATAAACTTGTCCTAACGTACTTAGAGCTCTTGAAGGCTTTGACCAATATACCTCAGACTATAGGTTTATTTAGTTCTTGCTTTGAGTGTGAGGAGAGGAATACAGGTGGGCCCAGTAGAGACCAGAGGTGGTCAAGGGAAAGTGAATTCCAGTGAGTGTCCTGCTGCTTCTCTGAAAAACACTGTTATTTTGGTAGCTCCCAGTGAACTGCCCCCTAGTATTCACTATTGGGCAGTCTGCAGTCGCCTTCATTCTAGAAAGATGCTGTAGCCAGTTTTAACCAATAAGATGTGGTACAAGGGACTTTATGCCAATTCCAGGCTTGAGTCTTGAGAAGCCAGGCAAGTTATGYACTCTGGGGAACCCTGTGCCACCACATAGGAAATGCAGCTACCCTGCTATTTGCGGAGGGAAGGGGGAGAATCTATGGAGAGGCTACATGGGAAGGGAGAGGCAGAGGTTACTTTACTTGAAGAAAGGGAGAGACCTGAAGAAGGGGAGAGACCCAGAAGTCCCAGCCTCCAGCCAACTCCCTGGATGAATGTGGCTACACAAACACTCAGAATGCAGAATGGTGAGCAAACCAAGTAGTAGTTGTTTTAAATCACTAACTGTCGTAATAATTTGTCATAAAACAAATTATTACTTAACTGGAATACCTAGTCTATTTGCTTGGCTTTTATTTCTCTAAGATGGCTATTTGTTCCAGTTTGCCTAGGAATGAATGGATTCCCAGGACACAAAATTTTCATTGCTAAAACTGGGAAACCCTAGGGAAGCTCAGATGAGTTGATCACCCTACATCCAACATCCCAGTTAAACAGAAGTTTATGTCAGAGAGACATTAAGAGAAACTTGATTCCCCTCTTGGTCAACATGCCGTGGAAAGACTCTCAAAAACCAGAAGTTAAGTCAACTCCCTCCAGTATGGACCTTCAGAACTTTAGCTGTGCCTTAGGGTTTTGACCTTGAGGATCAAAGCATTAGAATTCTGGAAAAACCAAAATGTTCTGGAGCTTGTCAGTCCAAGGTCAATGTTATGATGTGGCCACAAAGCCACCTCTGCTTTGGCACTGAGCCAGCTATAGTTCCCTCTGTGAGTATCAAAGCCATCTCTCTAACAGGCAAGGGACAGGAGTTCCAACTGGAAGATATACTTTTTCTCTGCCTCTGAAGAGCCCAAGTCATCAGTTCCCAACAGGACTGTTGTTTGTCTCCAAAATGTGGTTATCCCCCTCACCCACATTTTTGGAACTCAACAATTATCTCTTGAAATAAGATTGCAAATGATTAACTTTTGTTATTCAGATGCTCAAATATAGTTCTATAGTGTGGATGGAAAAGGGAGTTTTGTCATTTCTTGATAATTATATTTGGAAGGCATACCAAGCATATTAAAAAGGTAGCAGAATACAACAATTACTAATAGGGCATTATGTAAAATTGTGGATGTGTAACCGACGTGATTCTGCAATATGCATTTGGGGTAAAATTGGGAGTTCATAACCCACTTCAATCTAATGTATGAAATATGATATGTCAAGAGCTTTGTAATGTTGTGAACAACCAATAAAAAAAATGTGGCAAAAAAAAAAGTTAAGTGTGAACAGCTAACAAACCATTTCATTCCAACCAAGAGATAAATCAGTGGCCAATTTCAGGTGGCCATGTGGCTTAATCTATCCACTCTGTAATAATGGCAGCACTTCAGCTGCACTTAGTAGGTGTTCTTTAAGTATTTGTTGAAAATGCATGATAGTAGCTTTTGAGCATTCATCATGCTAGACATGATGCTAATAATGACAGAAACTCACTCCTTAAGAAGCCCAAACTGGGATTCATGAATTCTTCCCTAGTATCTCTTTAAAAACCAAATATGGCATGCTGGGGCTGCATAGAAGCTAACGGAATAGATGAATCTAGCTTAACCTGCATGGTAATGCAGGTAAAGAGACCCCTGAAACATGTGCCAAAGTATATCTTTATTTCTTCCCATAACTGCAATAATAGTACTGGGAGGGGGGTGAAGGATTGGGAGAGGAGTGCAACTACAATGATCTTAACATTTTTATGACATATAGTGGAGTCTTTTTTATACAAAATCTCTTGTAGGGCTGAAATTTATTAATCATATGTGTGTCTGTGTTTGCAGAGAGTGTTGAGTGCCCAGAGCCCACCCATTAGGCCACTCCTTTATTCCTATGGCTATCTCTAAGGAACCACCTAAGAACCATAGAACTCCATTTTAAGAGTTGGAGGGTCACAGCTCAAGAGGATCTCAGTGGTCTTGTCCAGTTCCAGAGTGGTAGGATGGTGTCTGTACATATACTCTCTTCATTCCCAATAGCACTGGTCATGCCCACCATTTCTTAATTGCTTATGTACCTCTTCCATATTGGCTATTTTTCTCCTCAGTCAGACGAGGAAAAAAACGTGACCCGTCCAATCTATCTACACTTTATTATTAATGAAAAGTAACCACCATTCTCTCCTATTTCTAGGACAAGCCTAGATATCAAATTATATTTAATATTTATTCAGGTAGGTTTCACAAAAGCCATCACTACTCCAACCCCAGATGTTTCTCTGTGTGAGGCAGAATTCCTGAATCAATTTTTAGTTCTGATTCATCTTTCTTCCTTCCAAATTGCATTTCAAATTCGTTGATGAGTCAATATGTGATTTATGACAGGTTTTGATAATGGCTGAAATAGGCCCAGAATTATTATACTCTGTAATCACAGAACTCATCTCCTACATTTTGATGGCACAGTTTAGCCTCTCCTATCTTCATGTCTCTTCAGTCCAACTTAGACCCCCAAGGAAGATGTCTAAGAGATCTTTTTAAAAATACATCTTGCTCTCTGTTAACACTTGGAAGTACTATAATACAAAACTGTATATACAGTGATTTATGTGCTACAACATATTCTAATTAGTTACAACTTCTTTCTAATTATTCAGTTTTTCATATCATTTTATATAAAATGAGGGAGACATTACATTTAAACATTTGGTTGAGTTTAACTGAAATTTCTGTCTCAGCCAAATCATGATTACTTCTTATACTTACCTCCTTAAAGCTCAAATGAAATTTTATTTTCTCCAGCAAATATTAAACAAAAATGGGAGTAAAATTAGGATGTTCTGTACAAAATTTTTTTGATTGATTATCTTCTACATTGYAGGCAAAAACAATCAAGCATAGACTCAGTCTACCTTTCACATTAGGCCAACCATCTACAATTTAATTGTTCATACACTTTTACTAAATTTTTCCTGCATGGCTACCCTTTCCTTTCCTAATTTAACCAAGTCTAAACATAAGGACATCCTAGATTCATTAATAATGCATCACTGATGTATTCTGAAATGCTGAATAGGAGGCAAGAGCTTTGTTTTACACAGAGCTATTGGCCACTAAAGAAAACAATGTCATTGTATTAAATTGCCTAATAACTTTAATGAATTTCAATACCACATTTGGTGCTTTTATGCAAAACAAATTCTCCACCCAAATTATTTCAACATGATTTAATAGCTTATAAACCAACTGAGAGGTCAGGGAGCAAAACAAAATAGAAATTCTAATGAGCAACAGCTCTTTCTGAAAAAAAAGAGACAAGTTTCTACAAATATTTTATGCTCTTTTTCATCCACAAATAATCTATTAAAATTATATGTATAACACAGAATCAGCATTTTTATGCAACTGAGAGCACCTTCTTAATTGCTTTTATAGCTCATCTATTTTATCAGGAATAGTTTTTCAGCTTGGACAAATCACAGCCTTGTAACAGTGATTTACTTCAAAACCTTTAACAGCTACTTAATTTTATCATATATATAGATGCTCCTTGGCTTTCAATGGGGCTATGTCTCAATAAGCCCATTGTAAATAGCAAATATCATGAGTTGAAAAAGGATTGAATCCACCTAACCTACTAAACATCACAGCTTTGCAACACAGTGCATTGTAGTCTCCATTGTCTCCCCTGGTGATCAGGAGCCAACTAGAAGCTGCAATTTGCTGCCACTGTCCAGCATCTCAAAAGAGAATCATTTCACATTATCAGTATCCCAGGAAAAGATCCAAATTCAAAGTACAGTTTCACTGGATACATATTGCTTTCACACTATTCTAATGTCAAAAATCCTAAGTCAACCCCTCATAAGTCAGG